GACTAATCTTCAGTCTGTACACCCCACTCCCTAGAGTCTATGTAACCCCACCCCACTGTCCTAACCCTGCCTCCTCAGTGGTCTCTCTGACCCCTCCCCATTATCCTATCCTCCTAGCTCCCCCACAGGTCTCAGACCCCTCCACACTGCTCCACCAACCCCATCTTCTGCCTCCCTCATGGGTCTCTCTGGACTCTCCCCCTACCTCCCTCACAGGGCTCTGGGCCTTCCCACTCCCCCCCACTAGGGTTGCCAAGCCTCCAGGATTGGCCTGGAGCCTCCAAGGATTAAAAATTGTCAGGTGATTAAATCTCTAGGAATAGTCCAACCAAAACTGGCAACCCTCCCCCAAAACGTGTACCTGTGCCCCCTCCCCCACTTCTCACATGGGTCACTGCCTGCCCCACCCCACCCCCAATAGTCTCTGGGCCGCCCCTCCCACACAGGTGTCTGCGCTTCATCCGCTGCCTGGCCTGGCCAGGGTTTGAACTGAACAGCGCCCCGCGGATGGCAGCCAGGCGGGAGACGCCCCGGGCCGAAGGGAGACGGGCTCCTCCCAAACCTAGACACCCCCCCCCAATAGTTGCCAGGGCCCCAACAGCACCCACCGGGGTTCCCTGGCGGGGCCGGGGTCTGGGCCCACCCCGTGGGGCACTCAGACCCCAGCAGCAGCAGCAGCAGCGCCCAGAGAACAGCCGTGATCATGGCGGGTAGCGGCTGCCCGACAAACGCTGCGGAGGCCACCTCAGCGCGGCGGCCGCCATCTTGCGGCGGGCCTTGGTCGCTATGGAAACGGTTGCCAGCGGCTCAGAGGGAGGAGGACGGGGCTGGAGAGGCCATGGGGAGCTGGCTTTAGCCTTCTGCCAGGCAGGGTGAGGGCTTGGCGGGCTGCAGCCGCCCCCCGCTGAGCGCCACTCGCTCGTAGCTAATGCTGCGAAGAACGTGTGTCCTTGTCTTCCCCAGGGAATGGCCTCGACGAGCTGTGGCGGCCTGGCTCCCTGCCTGGGCGCTCCCCCGTCCACGCTGGCAGCGCACTAGTCAGTCAGGGGTTCTCAAACATTTTAATGGGGTCACCAAGGCTGGTGCTGGCCCTGGGCCTCAGCATCCCAAGCCCCACGGCCCAGGGCTAAGGTTACACGGCCCCTGCCCAGAGCAGAAGCCCTTGGGCTTCAGTTTTGCCCGCCAGGGACAGGGCAGCTAGGGGGGGGCTCAGTCTTTGGTCCCCCCCATCTGGGGGAATTCCGCATCACTGTGCTTGCGTAGAATTCATTCCCCCCGCAGATTTCTTTGCTGCCCCACAGAAAAATAACTTCTGAGGGGGAAGCAAAGGGAAGCTGCAAGAGTGGTCATGCGCCCCCTCCCCAGCCGTGCAGGCATAGGCGCCGACTCCATGGGTGCTCCGGGGCTGGAGCATCCACAGGGAAAAATTAGTGGGTGCTCTGCACCCACCAGCAGCCAGGCTCCCCTCACCCCACCTCCTCCCCCCCAAGGACGCCACATCCCCGCTCCTCTGCCACGCTTCCAGCTGCCAAACAGCTGTTTGGCGGTGCTTCCAGAAGGGAGGGGGGAGGAGCAAGGGCACAGCACACTGAGGGGAGGAGGTGGGGCAGGGACCTGGGGAAAGGGGGTGGAATGGGGGCAAGAAGGGGGTGGGGACTTTGGGGAAGGGGTGGAATGGGAGCAGGGCGAGGGCGATGCAGGGGCATGGCCAGGATCGAACACCCACCCGGCACAGTGGAAGTCGGTGCCTATGAGTGCAGGCAGGTTGGTTGGGGCACCTATAGCGGCTGGTAGAGATGTAAATCACCACCGGGTCTGGGCAGTTCTGCATGTGAGAGAGAGAGAGATGCTCTCTCCCTCTGGCTCGCTATTGCAGCACGCTCAGCATGGATAGGCAGGGCTTTGGGGTATTTCTGAAGATGCAGGCGAGGGGCAGGCTCTGTTCCCTCAGGCAGAGCAGAATGTAGCAGCCTGCCTGCTTAGTGAATTGTTCCCATTGTTCTTAGTGAATTCCCCCAGGAGTATAAAACCCGTGTAAAAATTTTAAGGCTCCTTTACATTGCCAGAGTGGTGTAAAGGAGCCTTGTTGTAAAGAACAGTATGGCTTTATAAATGCTTATGGTGCTTTAGTGATTAGAACTGGTCTAAATTTTTAGACTGAAAAAATTTCCTGTCAAAATGTGCTCTATTAATTTACCTTTTTGGAGATAGTTAGTATAAATTGTGAGTTTGGGTCCCCAGCCCTCACTTGCTCTTCAGTTGCCTATGATGTAACATTGAGCATATGACTGCATATATTTGTTGACTAATAACTAGAAGTAAAGGATCAATACTAGCTACATTACTATTAGACAGAGGGGTTTTGGTGATTTCCTCCAATGCTCCCCACTCCCATTCTCCATCCACTGTATTGCAGTTTAAATTACCAAAATTAAATTACCAAAATAATTGAAACCAGCTTGATCATAGTGTGTTATTTTGACAAAAATATACAGAATTTTAAAATACTGTGCACAGAATTTTTAATTTTTTGATGCAGAATTTTTAAATTTTTGGCACAGAATTCCCAGAGGAGTAGGTAGTGTAGTAATTTTTGTTGTCAGAAGGAGGTCACGGTCCAATGAAGTTTGAGAACCGCTGGTCTAGACCCAGTGTCTTTTCTTCTGGAATAGCATCCACACAGGAGCTATTCTGGCCCAGCTCTTGCAAAACAGCTCCCTCTGCAGTAGCTATTCCAGGCCATTTCCCTGGGGCAGGCAAATGTCTTCACAGCAATGGCCTTGCTAGTGGCTGTTTTGTGCAGTTGTAAAATTAAGTGTCAGGGGATCTAGAGCTCTTGTAAAGGCATCTTTCTTAAATCTAAATAAACACATATTCAGTATTACTCTTGGGGGAATTCTGCACCACTGTGCATGTGCAAAATTTATGTCCCCCACAGATTTCTTTGCTTCCCTGCAGAAAAATGACTCTCTGGCGGGGAAGCAAAGGGAAGCCACAAGAGCAGTCATCTGACCCTTCCCAGCAGTATGTTTTGGGTGCCCAGGGCAGCCAGCAGAGAGTTAAATCACTGTGGGGCAAGGGGTAGGATCCGTCTGATGGCTCCTACCCTGCGCCGGGCTCAGCTGCTAGTTCTGGCTGGGCTGGGGCCGGGGAGGATAGGACTTGACTTCCTCTTCCCCTGCATGGCCTCCGGGGCCAGGTCAGACCCACCCCCAGAATTCTCCCCAGCTGCAGAAATGTCTGCAAACCTCCTGCCGCCCCACTTCCTACACCCATCACTCCTCAGCTGTAGGGGGAGGGATCCCTGTATAGGGAGCTGCTCCACCACCCGCCCAACCCCCGTGCATCCAGACCCCCTCATACCCAGTCCCTCCCACCGAGCCTCATTTCCCCGCACTCAGAAACCCCCTCGGATGACCCCCACTTCCCCTGCACCACCCCGATGAGCCACCCATGCTTCCACCCCACTGAGCCCCACTCCCCCAGCATCTAGATCCCCCACTGAGCCCCCCAGATCCCCCTGCTGAGCTCTAACTCCCCCCCAGGCCTCCTCCTCGAGCCCCAACCACCTTCACCTGGAGCCAGCAGAGTCCTATTACCGTTGCACCCGGATCCCTCACTGAGCCACCCGCACCCAGGTTGCCCCACACAGAACCCTCTCAACACACACCTGGATCTCCCCACATTAAGCCCCTCCACACTTGGATCCTGCCTTGCTGAGCCTGCCTGCCCACACCTGGTTCACCTGGCATGGAGTGGCATGGCGCTGGGGTGTTTCTGGGTCAGGGCCTGGTCCTTGCGCTGTGTCAGGGTTAGGTGCAGCCTCACTGCTGAGTCCGTGTCCCAGGAAGGAGCTGCACAGTGATCTCCCACCTCTGTGCAGCCAGTGGCCTGTGCTCCCCTGTGCCATGCTGGAGCCTCCATATTTATTCAACAAATAACATTTGAAAGAATTTTAAAATATTGTGCACAGAATTTTTTTTTTTTTCGGTGCAGAATGCCCTCAGGAGTAACAGGATGTACCAACAGTACTTAGAGTTTACAAACCACGCCTAATTTTACATTGCAAGGGCCCATATTGCCCTCTTTGTTGCACACGTTTGAGGCTAAAATATTCATCAAGATACTCAGCAGTATGCAAGATGCCTTGTCTGGTGTGGACCCTCATACTAAATTAACCTTTGATGATTTTGCCTTTAAGATTATAAAAGGGAGGATAAAGGGGAAAAAAGGCCTTTTTTTTTTAAAGTCA